TTTTTTTGCATGTGGCAGGAGGTTTACTCTCCATCCTATAAGTTTCTACCAAATTTGGTGTAAGGAAAAGCAATATCCTTTTTTGTAAATAAAAAGGGTCCGGATAACGGAAAAGTACCGAATAATTTTAACCATTTACGAGTGAAAACATGATTTGGACATACTAACACTCATTTGAACAATTTTGAAAGCTTGCTCATTTTTGAAACAGTGCACTTTTCCTTACCGGGCGGGATAATTGGCGACCGTGGTTTTATGGAAAATCTTACGTATTAAAATGCTTGCCTTAGAACGCTGATTTCGCAACCGTCTTTGTTAGCTGCGGAGCGCTTTTCTGACAGAAGACTTCGTGCTTGTAAAAGCGCATGCAAAAATATTCGCATCGACCAAGATCAAACGGGCATCATTTGTGCCGGTTCAGCAACGCAAACCACCAAACCACTCGATTCCTTTACCATTTATCGAAATTGCTCGTACTCTAGTGCAAACACGTCAGATGCGGAATACGGTTTTACCGAAATTTCGTTCCGCAGATAACGAACATGATTTGATAGCGTTTCATGGCGAATGTCTTGACACATCCACATATCGAAAGGCCACGGTCACGAGGTATCCTCTCCGTAAGTAAAAAAACTAGTTTTTATTTTGATCAAACAAGGAACTGGGATATTTTCAGTTAAATCTATGACGCAGAAGCGACCAAGAATCTTCAGTCGCGTCTCTCATTCTCGCAGCGCTTTCGCTGTCACTTTACAAAGTGTTTTGGCTTGAATGCTGTGCGTCGTGTGCGGGGTTGTAATCCAGAATTATATAAAGCTGCGAGCTTATCTAAACAGCCACTACGAATGTAGTGCGCAGCCGAAATCTCGAGTTGTAACCTTGCCATTGTTGTTCCATTTACATGTTTGAAAATATGTAGAGGCGAAAAGAAGCTATTATCTCTTGATTGGAACTGGTACTCATGCTACTTGAGCTCCTTTCCAGGGATGAGCTCTACAACATTAATCTTCTGTCATATCCAGTTTTAAAATGACTAACATTTTTTGGCTTAACTCTCCTTTATCTAATCTTCGCCTTCATTTGTAACGAAATGTAGATTCACAGCGCTGGTTTCACTTGCGAAACGTCACAAAGAAGGCAGATTTTTGAGAATTTAGCTCTTTATCTAGTTCAAATCAATCACAATCCAATTAAATCTCTCTGATCTCTCACATCGTCATCCATGTCTCGCCTGTTTTCCCTATACGAATCACACAACAGATACTGAATGATGGTTAGTCGACAAACTATGACAACTTCCCTGCGGTTAGTGGTATCCATATTGGCCACATCTCTTCTATGTGCAGTTAGTGCGCGACCTCACGACCACGATTCAAGTGCAAGTGCAGAAATTGCACGACCACCTCACGACCCTGAAACTTCTTATCCCATAGGTGATACATCAACATTGTAACATCAAATTTGAAAATTTCATTGCTTGCTTGCATTACGTAAAATAAAGTTGTTGCAGCTGAAGGAGCAGGTACCGTAGTCGGTGGAGCTGTTGGTGTGGCTAAAGGAGCCGGAACGGTCGTTGGTGAGTTCTACAAAGATCTGCAAAATTCTTCCGGCACAAGCTGCATAAAGCTCAATTTTTCCCGAGGCATTTGATTTATGAAATGTGGACATAACGGCTCAAAAGAAATGCTGTGCCATAATTTCCGATAAATCGTCATCTTATCCAGATGCAAGACTTTTGTCGTGAATGAGCCTATTTGAAAAGGGGTAAAAGAATTAATAGCGTCATTCGTGCCATTGAAAGTTGACAAAGGCAAATGATTAAATTGTATACTTTCTGGATTTTGGTCATTGAAAGCTAGAAGGTTAGTTCAGATTCTATGATCTAAAGAGGGAAGCCAATCAGACCTTTTTAGAGAAAATGTTTTGTTCGAAGTTTCTTTTCAAATTAGGTTTTTGCAAAACTTAATGTTTTACGCAGGAAGAAAAATATTCCGACTTGTAGTTCTCTAGCATTTTCTGAATGAATTCTTGGTTTATCTTCTTGATTTTCCTTTTAAGCTGAGGCTGCTGGAACGGTGAAAAATGGTACAGTGGAGGCAGCGAAGACCGTTGGAGGCTGGATTGGTAAGCTTGTGAAATTTTTTTGATTAACCGCAAAATATCAACATCATAGACTTCATTATTAGTCTTTCAAATATTCTTTGTCACGCTAGTTCATCACATGCTTCATGTATTTGGTTTCCTTAGATCTTTGATCAACGAGTCAAATGCGCCACTTAAGCGGGGCCTTACACTCGGCGAACATTGTGTAATTTGCGAATGGTTGTAATGCTAGTAAAGTTTGATGCGCTTCCATTCGCGAATCTGTTCGCCAAACTATTATTAGGGGAAAACAGCCTGCTTGAATTCAGGAGGCAACTTTACTCGATTACGTT